TATATATATAATCTACATCAGTGGGTCCATTTTAAAGATCGGCTGCAACAGGTGCACTTTTATTAGCACTTATTGGTATGTGACAGGGATGGCTCTCAGCTACTACCATACTAAATATTTGATTAATACCTGCACATCTAACTTATAGATCAAACGTCTTTGTGTCTGCTAACGTCTATTAGCTGTGGCAGTCAACCTTCATCAGTTTAAAATGTACATTAGTGATTAATTTCATTAAAATCCTTTTATTGCAGTTGCAGACTTTAAAAAACTTCCTCATTGTGACCCTGTGTAGCAGCTAAAAGCACACAGACTGTTAGCATTCTCGTGCTCAGACTTCTAGGAAGAGAAACCCCTTTGAGACGGAGGAGTTTGATCCGTGTGGGTTTTTTTCTGCGGGACACATCAAAAGGACGGCCTCGGCTGGAAGGCCTTTCAGCCTGAGGTCTGGCTCTGACGGGAAGAAGGGAAACCATCCGAACCTGGCCGCCGACAGAGACTATTTATAAGGTGTGAAAGGTGCCAGAGTGGATTTCAAATCAATCCCCGTCCTCTCCTGCTGCTGCTCTTTACGCTGCAGGTTTCAGGTTACTGCTCATGACCACGTACTGCTCAGCTGCATGACGAGTGATGGGCTGCCTGCTATCATAACAGCTCGCTACAGGAAAACAAGACCTTAGCCAAGTGTCAGAAGCTGAAGGAAATAAATTCATTMAAGGTTTAACTGATAACTGAACGCAGGAGGGATTTTCAATTCGCTGAAGGCAAACTTTAGAAAGGATCAACTATCTTTAAGGGTTCATAACTGACCCCTGCTGGTCAGAACTTCTGCAACATCACCTATGAAAGGTTTTTAAACCATTTATCAATAATCCCAGACATTCAGCCAAAGCTACAGAGCACCCACCTGTTTGATTGTATAGTTCTTCGTCTCCCAGATCTTCCTGGCTTCTTCAAGCTCTTTCTTCGTCAGCTGGGAGGGCTGGGGGACGTCCCCRAGTGTCCTCGCTTCTCTCAGCTTGGACACCAGCGTCCACAGCCGGGACTGCCATCGCAGAACGCCAGGAAGAGTGTCGGCTGGAACCCATTAACACGCACAGGGTGAAGAAGATAATATTTGTTTGGGACAGGAAGGATCGTTCATTCATGGATAACRTCTCAGAAGGTTTTCGGCTCACTCTTGATGTTCCAGAGGATCTCTTGCTCAGGCGACGCGCTGAAGAGGATGTAGAGTCGAACCGTGTCCAGGCCGTACTGCTGCACCACCTCCTGAGGGTCCAGGCCATTGTGCTTCGACTTGCTCATCTTCTCCCACGTCACCTCGACACGACCGCCGCTCCGCGCCACCGGCTCCTCACCTGGAGGGAGCGGGGGACGAGTTTCTTAGCAGGAGCGTTGGGATTACAAAACACAACTTAATCGAGGATTTTTAAATTTCTCTAAGGTTGCAAAATCACTTAGTTATTGTTCTAAAATATGTTCTGACATGTTTGATAAAAGAAAACAAAAAAATCAAACTGATTTTCATGTAAGGAAAACTGAAACATTATAACTACAACACTGGAGTAACTTTTTAGTGCCAGGGTAACAAATTTACCACCATCAGCAGGAAAAATGTCAATCTTTTTTTGCTCGTKTCTCTGTTAGCAAAATTTCTCATAAACCACTAAGTGGATTTTATTGAAACTCTCTGAAAACCAGAGTTGTAAAGTAACTGAGTATAAATACTTTGTTACTGTACTTAAGCAGAAATTTTGGTTATCTGTACTTTACTTGAGTAATTATTTTTCAGCCTACTTTTTATTTTTACTCCGTCCATTTTTACACAGTTATCTGTACTGTAAGTATAAATGTATACCAGTGGTTCCCAAACTTTTTATCATCTGACCGACAAAATATCCATGGCTTAAACTTGTGACCCCAAATATTGCTGGTCTGAGTACATGAACTCCATTAATAACCCTAAAAACACAGGCTTTTTGACAATCTAAACAGTTTGTACACAAATATAAATACTTATTTATACTTATTTTGTGTTTTTGTAATATTTATAGAGAAAATATTGCATCAGCAATTATTTTATTA